AAAGAACAGATACCACATGATGCTACACAACCACCAAACAAAGAACAGACACCACAGTTTGGTGGTTGTGTAGCATCATGACGACATAACTAGTTTTTATCAGGATTGATCAGATTGTATCAAAGCCAGCATTATCATAGGTTTGTTTGTAATAACCATTGTTCTTATAAGACTTGTATATAATAACTAGCGATTTTAAACTGACGGAAATATTTTATCTATGTTCTGTTCTCTTGTTCAGGTTACTCCAGATTCTTAAATAAAATCCAACTTGTTTTAAATCACTAGTAAATGTTCTTTACATGAAAAAATTGTTAAATACTTCAGGTTCAACGTTCTCTTCAGAACTCGTGAGAAATGGACATTGGAGGATATCACCCCCTATGTTCAGTAAGTAGAAAATAAAGAAAAATTAGATTTCAGTTAGCAATTAGAATGATGTAATTGATATTAACGAGTAATAACAGCAGTGTCCAACACCTCAAAAGTTTTGCTTTTATGTTTTTAATGTTTTCTTTCACTAAATTAGTACAAGTTATGAGATCCTTTTTAGAAATACTCCTCTGATTTGTCTGAAGGATCTGTTCTTTGTTTGGTGGTTGTGTAGCATCATGTGGTGTCTGTTCTTTGGTGACATAACTAGTTTTTATCAGGATTGTGTGGTGACATAACTAGTTTTTATCAGGATTGTGTGGTGACATAACTAGTTTTTATCAGGATTGTGTGGTGACATAACTAGTTTTTATCAGGATTGCGACCACAACTATTAGTGTGTGATATGTACCACAACTGTTAATGTGTGATATTTACCACAACTGTTAATGTGTGATATGTACCACAACTGCCAGAAACTCTTCCTTCTTGTATTGATTGTCTTTGTTTATGAAGGTTTGTAATTGGACTTTGTATGAAAGATCACTGATGTTTGTTGTGTTTTAAATAAATGTCTCAGTTGTCAGGTCTAAAAAGTAAGTTTAATGTCATGAACAAGATATCGCTCGGTGACTTTTTAACTAAGCATGTGTTATAGGTTATCCACTTTCCTTTCATGTCTTCTAGGGTATAGCCCTCACGGATCGAACTTCCAAACCTGAAACAATCTTCTTCTTCCCAGCGTGGAAACTCCCTGAGGATATTACTTCACGGTAAAGTTATTATTTGTACACAGGATGGATCATTTGGTCACTGTGTTCAGATGATGAAAATTTGGTGTTTAGTTGTTTGACACTATATGTAGCGCAACCTGCCGGCTGACATTAAACTTACAAATACAACTTTATTTTGGCAGTGGCTCACTGGGAGGCCTGTAATATATGCCAGTAGTAGATGTAACCTTAGTTGTAGTAAGCATGTGTACACTAATAGAAAAACCAGAGTTACAGATAGTTACTTACAATTATCAGGATGAAGTAACACTTGTCTGTGGGAATTATTTTTACCTTATAAGAAACTGTCATAGTTTAATCAGTGTTACGTAATATAAATAAATAGTTGTTTTGATCAGAGTTCCATGTCGCAACTAAACTATCAAAGTTGCATAACTAGTTTTTATCAGGATTGCATGACGACATAACTAGTTTTATTGGGATTGTGTGGTAACATAACTAGTTTTATTGGGATTGTGTGGTAACATAACTAGTTTTTATCAGGATTGTGTAAATATCACACATTAACAGTTGTGGTAAATATCACACATTAACAGTTGTGGTACATGTCACACACACTAACAGTTGTGGTACATATCACACATTAACAGTTGTGGTACATGTCACACATTAACAGTTGTGGTAAACTGTTGCTAATGGGATACTGTAGAAGTGACTGTTGCTAATGGGATACTGTAGAAGTGACTATCACACACTGTTTCTAATGGGTAACTGTAGAAGTGACTGTCACATACCGTTTCTAATGGGTAACTGTAGAAGTGACTGTCACACACTGTTTCTAATGGGATACTGTAGAAGTGACTGTCACACACCATTTCTAATGAGATACTGTAGAAGTGACTGTCACACACCATTTCTAATGAGATACTGTAGAAGTGACTATCACACACTGTTGCTAATGAGATACTGTAGAAGTGACTATCACACACTGTTGCTAATGAGATACTGTAGAAGTGACTATCACATACCGTTTCTAATGAGATACTGTAGAAGTGACTGTCACATACCGTTTCTAATGGGATACTGTAGAAGTGACTGTCACACACCGTTTCTAATGAGATACTGTAGAAGTGACTATCACACACTGTTGCTAATGGGATACTGTAGAAGTGACTGTCACATACCGTTTCTAATGGGATACTGTAGAAGTGACTATCACACATTGTTTCTAATGGGATACTGTAGAAGTGACTGTCACATACCGTTTCTAATGGGATACTGTAGAAGTGACTGTCACATACCGTTTCTAATGAGATACCGTAGAAGTGACTGTCACATACCGTTTCTAATTGTACACCGTAGAAGTGACTGTCAGATACCGTTGTAATAAAACTGAGTGGCTGTTTATTCTGAGAATTTTAAAATTGATTTTGTAGGAAGATTTTAGAAGAGTGTTTTCACTGGTATACCGAACCCGTCGGACGGACGACTCCTGAAGGTAAGATGGTACATATCCTTACACAAAAATAAAACCAAAACTATTACCTGTCACTGGGGAATACACCGCACGTGTGGATACTTGGGGAATACACCATACGTGTGGATACTTGGGGAATACACCACACGTGTGGATACTTGGGGAATACACCACACGTGTCGATACTTGGGGAATACACCACAGTGTGGATACTTGGGGAATACACCACACGTGTGGATACTTGGGGAATACACCACACGTGTGGATACTTGGGGAATACACCACACGTGTGGATACTTGGGGAATACACCACACATGTGGATACTTGGGGAATACACCACACATGTGGATACTTGGGGAATACACCACACATGTGGATACTTGGGGAATACTCCACACATGTGGATACTTGGGGAATACACCACAGGTGTGGATACTTGGGGAATACACCACACGTGTTAATACTTGGGGAATACTCCACACGTGTGGATAATTTTGTTTCAGCCTAACTTGTCACATAATACTGACTTATTAAAACAGTTAAAATAAGGTCATTTAATGAGACTTTACATAATAATATAACAGTTTGGACAAGTGATTTGTCACAAGAGAGTCACTTTTCTTAACTAGGCTTCAATTAGTTGTGAAAGTATAGAAGCAAGCTTCTATGTTATAACTTCTTACGTGCTACTTAACTTAAAACTCACTACTTTAAGTGTGTCGTGCAACATTTTAAAATTATTTCTACCATTTGAGGTGACAAACAATCGAGTGATACTTGTAACACAGATGAAAACAGTGATCTGTAATTTAATTTTAACACTTGCATGATAATATCAATAATAGATGTTAGCAGAAACAATCTCATTTCACTTTTTCATATTAGGATGCATAATTTTGATTATCTCTTTAAAAGTGAAGAGCAGACCCTATTATTTGGTCAGATAAGAATTAACAGTGGTCTGTTGACTTCCCTCCAGACTATTGTTTCTAAGTTAGGGAAGTTCGTGTACAGACAGTCCAGGTGAAACATACTCTACGTACAACAGCGAATTAAATACGGTGAGCTCAGTCTAGAAAATACGAACCATTCAGACATCAATCCCTCAAATTTTAAGTAATTTAGTGAATAATAAAGTTTATCAATATTTATTTTGCTTGCTTGCTTAGGTTTTTATATGCTGAATATTTTTATCTTTGATGTAGATTCTTTTAAAAAATTCTTAAGCGGTATGCTTTACTTAATGTTTTAGAATAATCTAGCTTCTGTGTTATTATCAGTGTTTTGTGTTTCAGAAACATCCCGTCTCTATCATTACATAGTAACACAATCCTTCCTTACATTTCGACATGGTGGTAAATACTTCTAAAAGTCTGTATCATCTTAAAAGTTATAAAAAACTAAAATATATTTTTTTACTAGAATAAATGGCTTCAGAAATAACATTTAAACATTTAAGGTTGTTGTTTTTTTGTTTTTTTTCAGGATATGATCTATATCGTTGGAATGAAGACAAAATTTGTGCATTTCTCGGTGAAGTTATTTTAAGGCCTACGGGAAAAGCAAGTCGACTTACCACTTTTCTTGTTCTTACAACTTATTATAATTTGTTTTTGATGTGTTGTCTGTATGCGTTGACATATAGAGCAGGCTTGATAATTTCTGTTTGTTGTTTTTTGTTGGTCAAATAATGTGTAAGATTAAGTTCAGTTCATTAATAAAGAGTTTAAATTACTTAATCAAATAAATGAATAAAAATTAAAGGGTTTAAAAAGATATGACTTGTTTGAAAATAAAGTTGCTTGTGATGTAGAAACAAGTACTTTACACCAGAGTCATCTGTATATTAACTTTAAATTTAGTACTAATTTAAACAGACTATATTAGCTGGCGTCTCTTCAAAATAAATTTCTAGCCTGTCTTAAGAAATAAAACTTGGCTGAAAACCTGATGTAAGCTCGAAAAGCTAGAATTCAGCTTCAACAAGTAACTGAAAGAGTGTTAAATTTGTACTTATCCTCAAAGATCAGTTGATCTAAGTTTTGGAAACTGTTGTTTTCCTTTGAGGTTTTTTATTATTCGGTATCTTGGTCTGTCCAAAGATATGACATCTCAGTTTTGTCTCATCAAATAATAACATTAAACTCTGTCAGAATATCTCTTTTGACAGCACTTAAAACCTGTGTAATAAGTGTAAAATGATTTTTAAAAGATGGTGTAAATATTGTATGTATAGTATGTTTTAAAATAATCCTACGGATATTGTTGAATCAATAAGACACAGTTTGTTTACTCTTGTTAATTTGGAAAAATGATTTTTTAAAGCAATATAAGGGATGGATTCAATTTTATGGAAAAGGTCATGTCTGTTGCAGTGATGTATAGTGATGAGAAAGGAACTGATGTGAGATGATGTAGTGATGTAAGATTAGAAAGGAACTGAGATGACGTAGTTATGTAAGATGATGAGAAAGGATCTGTGAGATGATGTAGGCTTTGTTAGAGTTACAAAACAAGTTGTCTCAAACATAATGTACTTATCCTTCATTAAAGATATATCTGAGTAAAATAAAAAAGTAATGTGGAGTTAACAAAATCATTTGCATAAACTGAATAAAGTGTTCTAATTGGTTGTTGTGAGAAAGGTATGTTAACTTTTGTTGTTGAGATGAGTGTGACATGTTTATTTAATTGTTAAAATTTGGATTTTGTCTGTAGTTTAACTTGGAAGAATTCCTTTATACCTGGCAAAGTACAGTTCCAGAAGGAATAACAACTAATTTGAATCAGTTAAAGGTAGGTAATCTAGCACTAAGTAGTACAGACTAGTGGGAAACATTATTTTTAGATTGAATGTGTGTGTCAAGTTTGTCTAAACCCAAGTTTATGGCTCAGTTTAAGGAGAATTAAAGTTTAGCCTGACTTTGTTATGTACTCATAAGTTGATAAGTTTTAGTTGTGATGTTCCACGCATGTTATCATGTCTTATTCATAACTACTTTCTGTATGTTGTTAATGTGTGATATGTTCCACAACTGACAACTGTTAGTGTGTGACATGTACCACAACTGTTAGTGTGTGATATGTACCACAACTGTTAGTGTGTGATATGTACCACAACTGTTAATGTGTGACATGTACCACAACTGTTAGTGTGTAACATGTACCACAACTATTAATGTGTGATATGTACCACAACTGTTAATGTGTAAAATGTACCACAACTATTAATGTGTGATATGTACCACAACTGTTAATGTGTGATATGTACCACAACTGTTAATGTGTGATATCACTTCTACAGTATCCCATTAGCAACAGTGTGTGATAGTCACTTCTACAGTATCCCATTAGCAACAGTCACTTCTACAGTATCCCATTAGAAACGGTGTGTGATAGTCACTTCTACAGTATCCCATTAGAAACGGTATGTGACAGTCACTTCTACAGTATCCCATTAGAAACGGTATGTGACAGTCACTTCTACAGTTTCCCATTAGAAACGGTATGTGACAGTCACTTCTACAGTTTCTCATTAGAAACGGTATGTGA